ATCCTAATATTTGGCTTTGATCTAAAAAATTGTCATGAATGTGTCACTAACGTTTTCAAGCGCTTAAAAGAGTATAATGTAAAAGTAAATCTGAAAAAGTGTAGATTTTATGAAAACAAAGTACAATTCCTGGGTCATATAATAGACGAAAATGGCATTCACCCAACAAATGAGAAAATCAAATGCATTCAAGAAACTCCAACACCTAAGACACTAACAGAGTTGAAAGCCTATTTAGGGTTAATTAATTACTATGGAAAATTCATACCAATGTTGTCCACCAAACTTCAACCATTATATAATCTGTGCAAAACAGGAGTAGATATGAAGGAAAGTTGGTCAATTGATTGTCAGAAGGCTTTTGAATTAAGCAAAAAACTATTAAGTTCTGATAGTGTGCTTACTCATTATAATCCAAAATTACCCATATATCTGACATGTGATAGTAGCGGCTATGGGGTGGGAGCAATCCTAAGTCATAAAATTGATGGAGAAGAACATCCGGTTATGTTTGCCTCTAGTACTTTATCTCCAAGCGAAAAGAACTACTCCAATTTAGAAAGAGAGGCTTTAGCTCTAATGTTCGGGTTAAGAAAGTTTCATAAATATCTGTTTGCTCGAAAATTTGTCTTGATAACTGATCATCAACCATTACAATTTATCTTTGGCAAAAATAGAGGTATACCAATTTCAGCAGCAGCTAGAGTAACTCGTTGGGCAATTACATTGTCTGGTTATGATTACAGTATCGAATATAAAAAAGGGAAACTGATTTCAAATGCTGATGGTTTATCCCGCCTACCGGTTAAGGATGAAACTGGAATTCTAGATTGTATCTACTCATTCAGCTTCCACAATACTATACCATTAAATAGTGTTGACATTAATAATAGTTCTCGTAAAGATAAAATCATTTCTAAAGTCATGGATTTGACTAGTACAGGGTGGCCCAATAATGTTTATGATGAGGAAGTCAAACCGTACTTTAAAAAAAGACACGAATTATCTGTGGAACAAAACTGCTTGTTGCTAGGCAATAAAGTAGTTATACCGGAAGTTCTACGGACTAGAGTGTTAGGGTTGTTTCATGAACAACACTTAGGAATAGTTCGTACCAAAATGTTACTTAGATCATATTGTTGGTGGCCGGGAATTAACGAAGCTATTGAAAAATTCATTTCTACTTGTGAAATTTGCCAACAAACACAAAACTTTACCAGCAAAAGTCCTCTCCAATCATGGCCCTCTGCACCCAGCAATTTTTTTCGGGTGAATATTGATTTTTTCCACAAGTTCAATCACACATTCTTGATTCTAGTGGATACTAAATCTAAATGGTTAGATGTGAAATTAATGAGAAACGGAACAAGTGCAAAGGAAACGATAGTAAAACTCAAAGATATTTTTAGTACCATAGGTTTGCCAGTTGAATTGGTCTCTGATAATGGCCCTCCCTTCAATTCAAATGAATTTCATGTCTTCTGTCAAAGTAATGGTATAAACCCAGTGAAATCTCCGCCGTACCATCCCCAGAGTAATGGCCTAGCGGAAAGGGCAGTACAAACTGTTAAGAAAAATCTGGAAAAAATGTGTTTTGCACAAAAAGGGGAAGTGATGTCTGAAAGCTTGATTTTGGACAAACTAGTAAGTTTTCTGTTTAGCTATAGAAATTCACCAACAACCGTAACAGGACTCACCCCTGCTGAATGTATTTTGAAGACAAAACCAAGGACTCGATTTGATCTTCTCAAACCTAATATGTTTCAGAAATATATACCCATTAGTTCTGCTAGCAAAAGTTCAAAATTGTACTCATTGAATGAACAAGTCTATGTTAAAAATATGCATACCAAACTGTGGAATAAGGGTAAAATTGTGAAAATACTTAGCTATTGTACATACTTGATACTTATGGAAACAGATGATACTGTGAAATTTGTACATGCTGACAACATTCGCTCCGTCAATATTACCCAAGTCGACACACAAAATCGTGAATCTGTTAAAATTGTAAATGTGCCCTTATTTGAAAATGATAAAAATAATGTCGATAACCCGGGCAATCCAGTAGAACCACCTGTAAATGCTGGTAACAGAGAAAAGGTAACACCCAATCGTTCTACCCCTGTTAGTGTTAGTGTTAAGTTACCTGAAAGGGTGTTACCCCCATCTGATAATGTTCCATTACCCTCATCCAGGGCAAGTACAAGTAGATTGAATACCCCGTCAGTCATAAGAACTAGATTGGGTAGACAATCTAAACCCCCCACAAAATTAGATTTGTAATGCATAATGTCTCATCTTTAGTTACAAGGGGAGAAATGTAATGTAAGGTACTGGATTATTATAGTTAAGATATTATAGTATAAGCATTCATGAGTTCCAAGGTTGTTCTCAAGTTGGTTCTGTGAATCTATGGATCCGTGGTGTGAAGTGCCGTTCGGTGTCTGGCCTAGAGAGGGGGACGCCACATCCAAAAAAGGACAGTCTTGTCTGGTCTGTCATGTAGTCGTTGTCGTTAAAATGTATTTTTGTATCTACCCTCTGTGGGAAATAAAAGTCAGTCGATTTATGGTTTAAATGTTTTATGTTAGTACACTACAATAACTTAGGTCCAAAGGAAGAAGTTTCCCATTTTATTGACTTTGACTTGCCTACCACTTCCAGCTCCCAAGTTTCGAGGTTTATCAATAAAATATATTGTATTGAGGAGGAAAGTGAAGACACTGAGACAAAACGTAATAAGGAGAGACCTAAAAATTTCAAATATGACAGAAGAAGGAAGAAGGAATAGGAACCTATGGAAATTATGCTCAAAATGCACTCAATACCATTCAAGAACCTCTTTTCAAATTTTTCCTATCGTTTTTCTTTTCCTTCTGATAGTTCTGAGACATTATTGTGCTTCGCTCACCCTGTACAATATATTGTGACATTTGAATAAAAATATATAATTTCAATTTTGTATTCATTTGACTTCCGATCCTGTGAGAGTGAGATTGAAATTTCATTTCAAAGTCAATAAAAAAATCAGTAATAATTTTTTAATGATAGTTGATTACAACATTATCCTTTTTCCTAAATGAATATTTTTATTTAATCACGTTTACTTTTAAACAGAAGCAAAAAACGAGAAAATATTTCAAATTATGCGAGCGCTTCCCATTAACCAACACAAGATAGAGAGAGATAGGTATCCGTAAACACTGCGGGTTGCCTGAAAAATATTTTTGCCTCACTCGTCGTTCACAGTGGGTCCCTTCCAGTTGTATTGAGTTCATTGATAAATCCACTGACTGCTGAAAAATTGTGTTCCGAAATATAAAATCAAAAATATTGAGCTGATATTCGGAACACGTTTTCATGGTTTTCATCAGTATCTGCAGCAGATGATCAGGTGGAATTCGAATATTATTCTCAGCGCAAGTTATTTTGATTACAGCATTTTCTGATATAAAATCTGATATTAAATTGATTTATTATTGATGAGACAAGACTAAGTTTGAAAAGCAACGGAAATAAATGTTACATTCCTCATTTCTCCTCTAAAATAATGGCAGTTCACTGGGTCTTTTGTTGATCTGAGGAAGCCACACTACCTTTTGATAGTCATCAGCAATTTCAGCAGAATGTCGAGACGAATAATTTCGAATGAATAGTATATCTGCTCACAAAGTAGTAGTAGTAAGCATCTGTCACTTTCAGTGATTTCTTTTTAATTCGGAATGAAAAATCAGCAGTTTTAGTACTGTCAGTTGAATTCGGAATAAAGGCACTGCAAGCATCTTTATCGTTCTCTTGAAGTAATCAATTATCTGTCACTCTACGGTACGAAATTAATTTTATTCAATTTCTCGTAGCACGGCCGGCTGATTTTGGCTATATTCCGAATTCAACTGGTCAGTACTGTAAGTTGATCCACTCTGCTGAAAATCTGTGTTCCGAAATATAAAATCAAAAATTCACTACTGTAATTCGGGACACGTTTTCGTGGTTTTCATCAGTAGTAGTTTCTCGTTTATCTGAACTAGATGTTTAGCCTCCTACTTGTTATAAATTTTCGAAATTTAATATTTAACTTTAAGAGAAATCGATTCTTGTATCCTCTATAGTTTCTACGATTGTTGACGATGGCGATTGCTCGAGTGATGAAGAATACTTGGACATTTTGTTGCCATAAATTTCTCATGATGCACCAGATTGAGAATTGAGATTCATGAAAATCGCAATTCATCATTAATAAGGCATTAATGATGAATTTTAGGAGACATTCCAGTTTTATTTAGTTTATTTAGCCAATGCTGCTCCTTTCCTTACCTGCTCTACTACTTCATACTCCTGGTATTTTCTGATATTGTGAATCATTTCATTAATAACGGAAATGACTTACATTTCTTCCCCCTCTAAAATATGACAGTTCACTGAAGCCACACTACCTTTTGATACTCAGCAATTCCAGCAGAATGTTGAGTCGAAATATTTGGAATGAATAGTATTTCTGCTGACAAGCATCTGTCACTTCCAGTGAATTTTTTGATTTCGGAATGGAAAATCAGCAGATTCAGTACTGTCAGTTGAATTCGGAATATAGCCTTTGTCTGTTCGCTGTTCTTGAAGTCCCTCTAGAGGCCTAAGCGATATATGTTTGCTGGGAAAGAGCGACACAAACAAATCAATTCCACTATTTACGAACATTCCAGGAAACATGTTCTGAAAGTTCATTTCATTATAGGTTTTGTATCATTCCTCTTGTGGTATCACGAATTCAATATGGACACACAGCCACTGACTTGGCCACTGACATCGATTTGTTGTGTATATGCAATGACGGCTAAATATCTAGACTGTCTGACGGACGAATCATTTTGGATCTGGTCACAAACACACACTTATTCGGTTCATCGAGAAAAATGGCCTAGAACTGACACGAGTGACAAGTGACACATCACGATTGAAAGAATCAAATGGATGTGATTGGTTCGAAAATTCAAAATATGTCTGACATTTATGTTTCCTCCTAAACGAGTAAACGCATTAACGTTGCTATGCCGAGTCTTTGAGGGTTTTTTAGGTCTCTCAGTTTACTTTTTTGTTAAAGAATTGTGATATTTTATATAATGGCTTCTACTGCAAGCGTAAGTCATTGAATATTTGGTTTAGAACTTATGATTTGTAATTATTTATCATCATAGATGTCAAACAATGTGGAGAACCTCTCCCCACAAATAATAAGGGGAGTTGTGAGGGAAATGCAGGACCTAGTCACCAATCCACCTGAAGGAATTAAAGTGCAAATTAATGAAGAAGATGTTATTGATATACAAGCTTACATAGATGGACCTGCAGGTATCTTATTTCATATGGCAAACATGAACATTTTGTTGTTACCCTTCAACATTTTTTTACAGGTACACCCTATGTGGGAGGGTTGTTCAAAGTGAAACTCACCCTTGGTAAAGGATTCCCTACTGAACCACCAAAGGCCCACTTTCTTACCAAAATTTTCCACCCTAATGTTGCACCCAATGGGGAGATTTGTGTAAATACACTCAAAAAGGATTGGAAGTCTGATCTCGGAATCAAACACATCTTACTAGTGAGTTCCATCTATGGTTAATTATTATCAAACACAGTACTTTAATTTTTGCTGCCTGTTTTTGGTATTTGTACATGTTGGGTGTAATAAAATTAATTCATAGTTCTAATCAGTGCCCATAGTTTGTGCTATTCTTAATAAAATGGCACAAAATTTGTTTTCCAATATACTTCTCTGAAGATTGTGGAATTTGAATAGTTGTGCCCTTGTCTTATAGGTCTTGGCCCATGGTTCTGTATCTAATTTGCTTCTTCAAAGTATAAAGTAATAACTTTTTTCTCCTACAGGGTTGGTTGTCTAATGTGATGTGTTTTTATCCCATTCCAAGATCTGTTCATAAATTTTTTTTATTCATTACTAAATTTCAACATATCCCAAATAGTACAATCTAAGCAATATTTACACTTTATATTAAACATTAGTTTGCTTGCTACACAAACACCATAATCAATCACAATTACAAAGATTCCATCAGATTGAGAAAAAATTATAGCTTCCACAAATTCACAAGGTTTCGTCTTGGATTCTAAAGTGCTTGAAGACATGTAAATAAATAGTCTCAAATTATTATATACCTAATACTAGCCTTAGTTTTATTAGCATTCACCATTTTCAAGATGAATATATTCCAAAATTCTGCTGGGAAATGGAAGAGTGGCCAAGACTGAATGGTGCCAGTATTACTGTTTAATTTGTATTAGGTATCAAGTTATTTTATTAAATAGACACATTATTATTATCATTAATATGAAAAGTGCTTTTTCTTCCAAGGGTAACAACAATAATTATTTTCAATTTCATTCATTTCATTGCACCTCTGAGAGGTAAAATTCAGTAGGTACCCTATCAAGGAAACATCACTATTACCCAGCATAATTTCAAAATGAGGAACAGGATATACAAAATCTAGTTATTTTATTACAAGGGGTTTCGAACCCATGCTTGTATGAACTTTTTTTATTATCTTTGTTCCTCTAATCTGCATTCCATGAAATTTCGGGACACCCTGTCTATGACTTTCAAAATCACTCATTGTTCTTTTTTGCAATGTTTGCATTGAGATTTGCTCCCACTCTCATTTGAATAAAAAGCTATGTTGGCTAACATGTACAATTCTTGTAGTGGATCTCTCAGTAAATAGATATATAACATAAAAATGAGGTGTCAACAACAACTCTTGTCAACTTTTATACACCTTTTTTTAGAAAGGGATAAATTATAATTATTGTTTTTTATTTTATTTGAAGATTCTCTTAAAATCAAGCAAGGGGTAATTACGAGTAAGAGTTTCAGCCTAATGACTAAAGCTAGAGATCCCAAAATAGTATATCCCTTGGTATATCCAATCCTAGAACTAGAAAGACTTACACTCAAAATACATGAGAAATATCACATAAACACAGAAACATATCTAACATAAATGATGTATTATTTTTAGTTCAGACAATCATGAGTATTAATGTTATGTTGAAATATTGACATCAAATGTGAACATTGGAATAGACCTACATACACAGTTAGACTGTTCAGATACCTTGTTGTTTGTTGGAATAGTTTAAGTACAATAATAATGCAATGCATTGACATAGATGCAGCAAGTTTTGTTTATTTCAATGAGTGCTAGAGTAGAGAGGTATTAGCCCTAAAAAAATTATGTGCCATAGGCCAAATTTTTGTTTCATTTAAGGTTTATTGCCTTCAAATGTGAAGAAAAGAATAATAATTATTATACACAAGCTGCAGAACGTCCAAACCTATGTGTAATTCTGTGAGAAATCATTGGGATTTTGAGAACATTCGATTTGATTTGACATTTGTACCAAACAGTATTGTTTAAAAACATATTGATGCTTCTTCACTTAAACACAACTTTTATACATTTCTATTGGTCCAAATTCATAACCATTCTACTGAGAATTCTACTCCCTTGACGTAAATCTTATTATAAGCCTGGAATTTCAAGTCAATAATAATAATTATTGTAATGGACGATCCCTACAAACTGAAAAATGAAATACAATGTGAAAAAAACAGAATCTTGAAAAAACAAAATAGGTCGAAATGAGATAGGTACTTGATAAATTGAATGAAGGAACTTCAGGATTGTAAAGAATTATATTAGATACTATTCTTCTTCTTGTTCTTCTTCTTCTTCTGTGCACGGGTGGGCGGGTGCATATACCCTTGCACTCAGGTCTCTTCAGTTGGGCCCATTGTGCGCCCACATGGCCTCTGAATCAGCTAGGCATGCCAATTTCTTTGACGAAATTCAGTAGTTTCCTCAGCTGAATCACTTTAACATCATTTGAGTGCAATATAATGCTCCCAAAGGCAGCTTTCCTCTGATGCACCAGCGCGGGGCATTAAGCTAGTATGTGCGATGATGTTTCATCATCCTCCAAGCACTATCTGCAGATGAGATCATATTCGATCCCAATGAGCTCCAGGTGCCTGCTGAGGTGGTTGGAGCCAAACTACCATCTTGAGAGCTCTTCTTTCAAGTGACAAGGCCTCTCTCGTGAGCCTTTTTGAAGGTTCCTTCATATGGAGCTTTGATTGTCTCATTCCTGGTGTGTCCCGCCATGTTCAAAGGAACTGCCTTTGTAGCATGTTCTTCTCGATGGACATAACCATGCTATTGCGTATTCCTGTCGTTCCTGAACCGATCTTAGCTAGAGGGTCTGCCTCCTCGTTCCCCGGGATACCCAAGTGTCCTGGGACCCACATGAGGCTGACTTTTCTAGTTTTTGCCATATTTTCCAAGGCCCTTCTACACTCGGACACCAATTTAGTTGTGATCCTATCGGATGTCAATGCCATAATAGCAGCTTTGCTGTCTGAGCAATGGTGATTGGTCCACGTCCAGTTCTGCCGAAATTTTCTTGGTTACACCTTACACGTCATTATTGCAAACACTTCGACCTGGAACACTCAGGCATATTTGTCAAGAGGTACTGAGATTCCTGTTCCTCCTTCATATACCTCTGTACTAGACCCCGCCCCAAACCTTGAGCCAACCGTAAACCAAATTGACCCGTTGGAAAGGAGCAAACCTGGTGTATTGCCAATCCATTTCTCCAATCTCCTCTTTCATGTTCTTATACATTTCTGTATTGGCCTGCTGTGCATTGCACCACCCATAGCCAATGCTTACGTAGGTGCATTGGCTCCGATTCTCTCACGTACTCGCCGCCCCTGAATCGAACCAAAAGTTGTGAAAAAAGGAACAGATGTCATGATTCACTGATTCCAAAAAGGTATAGAAAACAGGGTGCTCCAATATTAAATAATAATTGACTAATGGATCATCAAACTTTTGTTTTTCACAAAGAGGGCAGTGAAAAGGTCTCGGTTCAGCTTTCAACTACCCTATATTTTTTTTCTGGACGAAAGATATCGGGATTATAGACGTGTGCTTCATGAATTTGAAAATTCAAAAGTTGCTGTTTATTCCAAAAACTAGAAATAAAAAAAAAACATTTTGAAATGGAATTTTCAATCATTTCAACCATATCAATTTCGTATTTGATAATTAGAATATCGCTAAAAAATACTTGAGGGTTGTTCAATTTCAAGGGAAAATAAATGGAACCTATACAAACAAAGTCTCTTTCAGCTGTTGGAAAAATCTCATGTTTCCATCAAACGTCATAGAGTCCTAATCCTTGTGTCTTCAATGAGGGCTAATATTATTTATTGTCCACCTGATTGCGCCATTAAAACATAAGGTCAGAGTTGGTAGAACTGATAAATATACTTTTTGTTCTCATGTCATTTGGCCTTTTTCTATGAGATCTTCTTCTTTTTTGTAATGCTCAACATTGAGACTAAACAATTCGAGTCTGCTCCAATCTTTGAAGAACTTCAGATTCTCTATTTTTTCAAATATTCTACATCATTTTTTCCGAATATTTTCGATAAAACAGGTCATCACAGCCTTTAGGGCTCTCCGGGGAAATTTTGAGATTTTTGACTTCGACATTAACCTAACTAACGTTTTAGTACTGCCCTCTGGTGAGGCAAACTGTTAGCTCTCATTGGACAATAAACATATTGTATTGATGGTCGGAAGTTATGTTTTGAATAATAGGAGGATTACCGTATTTTTAGACTATAAAGTGTCTTCTAATTGTTCCCAATGCTGAATCTGCATTGAACGAAGAAGCGGGAAAGTTGCTGTTGGAGCATTATGATGATTATTCACAAAGGGCAAAGATGATGACAGAAATACATGCACAGGTAAGCTCGTATTGAAGGTTTTTTGCAGTATACTTTTGATATAAAACGATCGATTTACTCGCTTGTCAACCAATGAAACTATTACACATAATTATTTAAAATGACCAATAAAAAATTGCATCTACGCTTTCAGTGCTGAAATGACAATGAATTCAATACTAGGAAGTAATATTCATAATTTCTGGATTTATTCAAGTCAGTTGTTATTATTCTGAATATCAGGAAGTACCATTACCTAATAATTTTTGCAACATTTTATAACTGTATTTGGATGCATCCAATAACAGGCTAAGAATTATGTCGATACATCTCTCTCATGGCATCAAACCATTGGTTGAATATATTTCTATAGTGGAGTGCCTCCCTGTAACTTTCGATTAATGATTAATGTCTGACAGATAAATTTAACATTCAATCAGAGATTATCCCTGCTGCTCGGCTGTTGTATGAGTTATATTCAATTCGAATTTAAATCAGAAATCTTCAAATGTGTATTCATTTCTTAATGATTTCCAATGGTAAACTTGAGTCATCAATAGATTTGAGTTATCAAAAAATCTGTACATGGTGCTTCATTGAGATTGGGCAATCTCTGAACTACAGATAGTAGGTAAAAACCGAAATATGAAGATTTAGCCAAACATGCCTTATGAAAATGTTGCAGTTACAGGGGTTTCAGGTAAAAATTTTCATTTCAAATTTCTCCAAGACTGGTCAAACATTTTCATTAGTGATAACTGCCTTTTTCCACTGTCACTTCGCTTACTTTATAATTTTCAATAATAAAAATTTTATGAGTGAAATACAATCCTTTTTAAGAGGGAATAACGAAAAAACCATTAGAGATAGGAAATTTGAAATAGAGTGCATTTTTTATGTTAAATTGAACAGGCCTTGTATTTTATTCCATTTTAGTCGGTTAGGGATTATTATTTCGAGTTCAGTGATACCCGGTTTGATCACGATAGGGTTATTTCTAACGATTACTAACAGTGTTGCGAAGATATTCCCGTTCTGAGTTTCCACTTGCTCAATGAGTGTGACAGAGAAAGAAGTTTTGATATTGTGAAGTCACACCTAGAGTCACTGAATGCTATTGTAGATAAGAGTTCGGACCCAGCTGAAATTTTGGCCTTTTCTATTTTCTAAATTACAATGCTTGAGTGAATAAAAGAATAAGACACGTATTCTGCTCTTTTTTTTTTCAACTACCCCTGTAGAGCCTGATTTGAAATCTGTTAAAAATGGGCCTAATATATAGTTTCATTCTAATCTGCTGTTATAAGAAGTGCATTTCTACGAAGGCCTGGAAGGGACACATAAAATAAAAAAAATAAAAACTCTTCAAAATTCCGAGTTATAACTCGGAATTTTAAAATTCCGTGTTATAACTCGGAATATTAGATGTAAAATTCCGAGTTATAACTCGGAATTTTAAAATTCCGAGATATAAGTCGGAATTTTGATGTAAAATTCCGAGTTATAACTCGGAATTTTAAAATTCCGAGATATAAGTCGGAATTTTACATCCAATATTCCGAGTTATAACTCGGAATTTTGATGTAAAATTCCGAGTTATAAGTCGGAATTTTGATGTAAAATTCCGAGTTATAACTCGGAATTTTAAAATTCCGAGATATAAGTCGGAATTTTACATCCAATATTCCGAGTTATAACACGGAATTTTAAAATTCCGAGTTATAAGTCGGAATTTTGATGTAAAATTCCGAGTTATAAGTCGGAATTTTAAAATTCCGACTTATATCTCGGAATTTTAAAATTCCGAATTATAACTCGGAATTTTAAAGTTCCGAGATATAAGTCGGAATTTTACATCCAATATTCTGAGTTATAACTCGGAATTTTAAAATTCCGAGTTATAACTCGGAATTTTACATCAAAATTCCGAGTTATAAGTCGGAATTTTGAAGAGTTTTTATTTTTTTTATTTTATGTGTCCCTTCCAGGGCTTCGTACATTTCAATGTATGTACCTCACATATTCTGCTTGTCTTCAAATTAATTTTCCATCCAGCAGGCCATTTCATACATTTCTTTCATATCAGAATGGTTGATATTTCCATTGAAAAATTAAATAAATGAAATCCATTCCCTTCAGAACTCCCACAATTCATTACACAGCAGGACATTTTGATTTATGCTTTCTTCTCAATAGTTTATGATATTCAATTATAATTCAATTCTGACGTTTATGAAATGTATTGTCGAATTCAGAGATTTTTGAATAAAAAAGCGCGGGACTACTATAATAGTGCTCTTGTCACAATGCAAGGTGTTTAACTTAATACATCTGAACATTCAAAAACACTAACAGTTGTCATTTCTCTGCCTGCGTCATTTCTAGTTTTATTGTGTCAGTTTATGACCTGTCATTCAATCCATTTTTCTGTTTCGTTTTCATTTGTCCAAAGTATTTGTCCATCTTGTTAAATAGTTAATTTTTTTAGTTCCGCACCGATACTACTGATGTGTTGCTTTAGGTATACATACAATGTAATTCATTTTCATTTCATAGTTTTTGATAATGTTCATTTTTATATCAGAGACAGTTTTTCCTGGCCTGTTAGCAACTTCAAAAGTAGAACTCATGTGCCCGATTCTATGACAACCTCTTGACGTAAATTCCACATCACCATGATTGTCTATTATAGGCGCCCTATTTAGTAAACTCTGTTTTCGTCCCAGTCTTTGTCTATCTTCTAATTTCAGTCTTTCAACAGTTTTGCCATAATCTCAAGTATCACTTATAAAAACGTGACCTTGTGGTTCCCAATTTTCAATTTTTATGTTAGAACTAAGACCACGACGTCAGTGCGCATACTCAGTGCATGCGTTGTCAATAAAATTTAAAGAACTACCGTCATTAGTGTCATTTGTCACTTGAGGTACAACATTTTTCTTTTGTTCTTCATATAGATTGGTATTATATCCTTACATTTTTGTCCTCATGTTGTTTTGTCATAATCAATTTTCTACAACATGTACTCTTTTGTCTGGTGATTGCTGTAGTACCGAAACCGGTTACATGTATTTGATGTATATGTTATATAAAGTGTGGTCGACCGACTTTGTGCTGTTTTTTTTTTCATTTGAGATAATATTATTATTATTATCCACTTTTTTTTGTACTGCTGAAATGTCTTATGCCTATATTGCTCATCTCTCTTTTCATGAATTTTCAGCAACATAAGTGCAAAGGATTGCCTGGGGAGGGCCCATTGGCTAAAAAACATGCAGGGGACAAAAAATTGACTGCAGAGAGGAAAAAACTCATGAAAGACAAAAAAAGAACTTTGAAACGATTATGAGGTTATATCAACATTTTACTATGTACACAAAGAATTTTAGATTTTTCCATTAAATGTTTATTTGATTTTTTAAGTTTCAAGAATTGATTTTTTGTTGTGAATGCATTATATGCTGGAGACTATTTTTTTTTTGAGTTAGTTCTATTCCTATTTCATGCAATCAAACATTAAATGTTTACCCCATTTGATGTACCTAACTAAAACCAATAAGTTCGATTTACTATATATAGTTTTTTTATTGAAGGGAACGTGAATTATTTAAATTATGATAGTCATTATATTTGTTAGTTTTTAGTCTCACCTCATTGTATTTTAATTGTTGAGTTAGATAATGATTTCTTGTGTATAGGTGTTTGAACTGAATGTATGTTTTAAATCGTAATGTTTTATTTGAGATTTTATTCTTCAACTCAACTGAACTGTAAAAGCTTAAAAACAATGATATTTGGATAATTTTCTCTTGTAAAAGCTTAAAAACAATGATATTTTGATAATTGTCTCTTGTAAATAGTCGCATTTCGATTCAACAGTTATTTTCAAACATACTTACTGTGCAATTATTGCTCTTTTTAATTGAGTACCTACGTTTTTCACACCTTCAATGAGTTTTTTGTGCCTGTGTAATTGTGAGGTTATTTATTAATAAATTTATTGTGTCAATTTCAACTTTTGTTCTCACTAATTTGTATACCACTTTTTACTCGTAAACTTCCTGAATTTATGGACCTGCGAAAATTTCAATAGATACATCACGTTGTCCTGATAATTCGAATAATTCTGTCGCTCTAATGTTCACGAAATTGTGTTGCCGACCATCACCACGAGTCCGTTAGGACACAGTATATTTTCATTCCAATGGACGAGTGGTATTGCTGTACGGTAACAAAATTATTGAGTTAACAAATGAGAGACAGAATTATGAGAAGATATTCAGAACAAAGTGGTATTGTGTTCGACTATTTCACGAAGCATAAGGAGCATCGATTATAAATGAACAAGCCAAACCAAACAATTCATTCCAAAGGCCGTGCCCTGGATTTTTCTTCGAGGTGGGGCGGGGTCCAAGAAAAAAAAAAAGAATGCTAATATAAAAAAAAACAATTTCAGTTTGTATCAGAACTATTTATCAAAAATGGATAGCGCTGCTGAATAGACGATTGAATGGACATGACTCCGGAGGGACCACCAAGCAGACTCAACAATGCATAATCAATTTTTCAATTCAAGATTAACACACCATGTTCGAGGAAACTTTTTTACTTGTCATCACCAAATTTGAACGTCATTTCGACGTCAGCCCGACGTCACAGTTTGGTGAGTGAATGACGTCAATAAACGTGAGTAATATGAAGTCAATGGGCTGTGACTTATTCACGTCATTTATCACGTCATACGACGTCAACTCCTGACGCCACCTTGGTCATTCAACTGACGTAAAAAGACGTCACTGAAACGTCATCTGGTTGCCTGGGAACCTGAACCAAAAAACCTTCAACCCCCCCCCCCTCCAATAAAAAACATCAATGAACCTGCTCAAAATCGTTCAGAGTTCCCCGCTTCTCTATTATATACTCCATAGGCCAGCTTTTGAATCCCCTCCTAGCAAACATTGAACTATACAAGGTGTTTTTGAAATGAGTGCTCATATTCAGCACATTGATATGATACTTGATTCTTTTAATTAACGAAAATTTTCATTTCAAAAATTGAACAAAATACGAGAAAAAAATCAAGTACGCCACTTTAAAACAATTTAAATAACTGAACTCCAAATTTCATTATATAATGATCCCTGAATTTCGAAGAACATCGTGCGTTCCTAGACAGGATAGGGACAAGAGGTAGGTATTGGAATTTTTTTTGAACTTCTGGAGATTATGTGTTCTGGGAACGTCTATTATATATGTTACTCTCGAGATCGCGTATTTTTCGTTTTTCTCTGGTTTGTTGTCGAATTCTTGTGCTCTTCACTTCTGGTGGTTATTTATATGGGCAGGAGTATTTTCAACTGATAATATAAATAAATCTGCAATTATGATAATATTGGGTGAGTATATCAATATCTAGGTACCTATCTAGTGTTTGGAATTTCATTATTAGATGCATGTTTTTGCATGGTATCTCATATCCTATCACCCAGTTAACACAAATTGATCTCAGAGACGTCAGTACACTTCACATTCATGATTGAGATCACACCCGCGATTCGATTTGTGAATCACGTCGACATCTCCAGATCCTCTATTCCGGACCCTTTTGGTCATTTTTCGCTTCACATTTAGATGCCGAATGGGACTCAAAAGTTAGCTGAATGTGACTCCAGATATCACGTTGAAATGAGACTCACATTGAGGTCACATCATAATCAGAATGTGAGGTTTAGAAGACCATCGACCATTTCTGAATGTGAGGTTCTTTTCGATTATTATACTGGTATCGTAGCGTCCCTGGAAGAATCATATTGTGCGTCTCAGAAATGCTACATACACATTGATTTTTGACGTCTCAAGTGAAATCACATCTAGATTGATGAAGGTATTCAATGAGAGAACTAATCGGTCTCGAATCTCTGTCAAATAGATCAATCAAGGGTTTCACAAGGCAACTCGATTTTATTGAAAATTAGTCTCATTACACATCAGAATAGGTAAGTACGTACATGTTATGTTGAGCAAAACTACCTAGATATAACAATGATTGAAATTAGAAAAACAGCGCAGGCCTAGACTTTTTCGAATAATTATACAGGGTTATATATCTCCATGAGTTAACGCGATGAATATGGAGAACTGAAAGTAACACAAGAGAATCCAATATTTGCTCCTCATCTCTCCTTCCGTTGTAGCATGGTAACCAATCCCTGCTCAGAATTTCAAATTGTTCCAAGGTTGTCCAGATGACTTTTGTGATTTGACATCTGAAAATGAATATAGAAACAATCAATTGATTTCATTTTGCCCATTTCCTGTTCAGAATATCTCATAGAGAGTGAGTATAGAACCATAATGAGAGTATTGAAAAATGTTCAAGTCACTTTCATATCTACGTGGAGTCGTGTAAGATTGAAATTATTTATGAGAAGATGAAATCACACTGCATACCTACTGTTCTATACTGGGTGACAAAGAAGATAGAGAATAGCTGCGGCGCATTTTTTCCTTCCATTCATAATATTTTGCAATAATTTTGTTCTTAATCAGACTTTCCCAATACACAATCAGAATATGCATGTTCACTTATACCCTGATCCCAAAATGATATATTCCAAGTTATCATTGTGAGTATCATCATATATAGTCTTGAAATGGCGACGTGGTGTCGTCTACCCTGTCTTCATTGTCAACCAGTATATAGGTATATTATTGTATCAAGTTATGAACGTTGTAGTTACTTACCCTGTAACTTAGATGAGAAACACACAGTATCTTTAATCACAATCATGATTTTCGATTAGAAAGAGATGCTTATTCAGTCTAAGCAATAACGCCAAACACGAACTGCATACCAACACCGAATGAACTAATGCACTGAAACAACGAAATAGACGAGACAAAATCATGCCGTCGCTAAAGAATTTACAGACACGTGTACATCAGTCAGACCGACACTGACCGAGTGTGTACGAAACTTTACATAAGTCACATTGTGCGGTACATTCATGAGTATGTGAGTACACTGATATTTCCAAGTATTGTTCGATATTACTTTCATAAATGAATTTCCTTGAGATGTGAGAGAGATTCACATATTGAAGCATATTTTCGTTTCTTCATTCTGCACAATGTGAATCAGTTTGTCAATTCAGATACATCAAATTATGACTCTCAACGACTGAAATTTCAGATTCTGAAATTATAGTCGTTGTGAAGTTAAGGGGCCTCATAAATATTATATCCATATTGGTCTCAGATCCAACAGAATGTGATGAAATTTGCGAACTATCTGTCACACAAGGAATTCCTTGTAGATATCAGCGATGCAATATTGTGATTCGCTTTTGTGACATCAACTGCCATGAATGCGACATCTCATAGATGTTTGTGTTAACTGGGCATATACATTATGATGCAAATGTATGGAATGAATTCATTATTTCAGAAATGGGCGACATTTGAAGAAATTCCAAAAATACGTGAGTTTTAATTTTTGAAACCTCATCTCATGGCATTCATATGAGAGATGTTACGTCACCGGTGTTGGAGTAATGACGTAATGGACGGTTTTTTAAAATACAAACAGGGGTCACGTGACACCTCGTTTTGAAAGGTCTACTGATCGTCTATCCAATAGTCAAAATTTTGCAAAAGAAGATTGCAATTAAAATGGATTATCATTTGGTTAACTGAATCTTGCAGAGATCTTCTACTGAGAATTGAACATCGATAAAAAAGTTCTGAACTCTACTTTTTGGATTTTTTCGGAAGTCGTCTTGTTTTGAAATGAATTTATTCCATACATTTGCATCATACTGTATATACCTAATGTTAACGATATCATAATAATTGGAGTGGCTCTACCTCTACAGAAGCATCACCATCAATTTTTTTTAAGAGATCATCAGAATTTAAGACATTTTCAAATATAGCCACAAGTTTGAATGGGATGTTCTGAGACGAACTCCAGCCAATGAACTCAATATAATTATTGTTATATTGAGTTCATTGTCTTTAGCACGTAGATAACGCGGTATTAACAGGAATACGTTGGTTTGACGTAGATATACGGTCCCATCAGGGACGTCCTCAGGATATGGCCACATAGATATAAGAGACCTAACTATAGTAAGACATGGGATTCAAGAATACTCCCCTCAACCAAGTAATGAAGGTGAAATGAATGTTTTGAAAGAAATGTGTAAAATTTTCGAGTCGAGTACCGTAGAATGGGGTGACATGATAAGATTTTTGACACACTTCCATAGATTGCGACCTTACCATGCAACTTTCAACCAAACTAAAAATAGTCACCAACTCTTTCGACCCTAAAGAACAGAACGATACATTAAAACCGTTTCTATATAGTGTAGTTTTCGAAAAAAAAAATGTCAAACGTCATATTTCAAGTCACCCCAATATGGGGTGACTTGAAATATGACTTCTTATCAACGATTATTTCAAGTAGGATGGTCTAGGTGGTGACATGAAATGAAAATTAAATAAAAAATATATAGAAATCATCAATTTCATAAAAAAACACTGTGTTTTAGAACAAATATTTTTTAGCAAAATACAAAAAAGATAAAAAACTACAAAAATAAACAAAAAATCATTAGACTGAAAGACTAGTTTAGCTTCTTCCGTTGACATGCGACGTTGCCACTACTTCAAAATTTTCACTGCATTATATTTCAAGTCACCACACGATTTCAAGTCACCCCATTCTACGGTATTTTGAATTGTGCCTCACATTCAGGCAACGACCATACCACCTTGATTTAAGTACCCAGCTCCGTCTCCAACAGGAAAATCCGGGTCAAGGTCAACGACAGTATATCGGGGGATTTTCCACTCGAGGCAGGTGTTCCGCAGGGGTCGTGCCTGTCACCTCTGTTATATACCCTATACACGCATGATTTCCCTGTATTCGAGCGAACGAGTACAGCATTGTATGCCGACGATACGGCCATATATGCTCACTCGTTCGACTCGAATGTCGCCAGGACTC